TAACTTTCAAAAACACAACAAGCCTAGATTCACTAACTTAACACTGAGCGTTGGGCCGTGTACTTGACCTCTTATCGTGACACGTCTGGCTATTGACCTAGATAATTCTATGCTTGCGCGCGTTGTAAGAACACAGCGCTACTGGATAGAAAAACAACTAAATCAAACTAAACTTAGTGTTCAACTGATATAACCAACAACTGGAACGACAGATTAAATCTCGGCGAGCCCCCACTTTGTAACGTTTACCTATCTATCAGCCAAATAGATGGTGAACGTCCCCGGATTCTTTTTTCGGGGTCATATGCAAATGCCTTACGGCCTAAGTGGATGAACACTAACACAACGGCACACTAGGGCTCGAATTCGATGTCTAGGGAAAGCTAGTGATACTATCGTAATTAACACTCATCCAATCTACATACAACCTTTAATCAGCGAACACAGTTGTGGCAGAACACAAGGTTGAACTAGATAAAATATTTAATGTATAAAATATCAAAACCCAACTTACAAAATGTAAGGAAAAACACTATCACAGATTTCTACACTGTCTAAAAATAGCCACAGGCCACACAACGCTGCTAAAGCTTCAATAATTACTTGGCGACAAGTAATATTATACTAGAAGACTAAATCAACCTAACGAAAGCATAGCACACACAGGACTTAAGTTCTCTCACGTTCAAATGGTCAGAATCTGTTGCCGGACAAAATGGACGGCTTGGTCTGAATAGACCGTTTGATCCTGGTAGACTGCCTGATCAAGGTAAAACTGCCACGTGTGTCGAGTGTGCGGTGCAGTTAAAGACTTCTGCCACAGGGGAGGTCATCCTCAACTCATGTAGCCATTGGTTGGGAGGGTCATATGATCAGAATCATTCAATCAGATCTTAATGGAAAATTTCTACGTCTTAGACACCTTAATAAGACAGTGGAAAAACCCCAGGAGTTACACCATCACTCCCTATAAGGTATTATACAATGTCAAGATAAAAATGGAACCTGACTCGACCTAAGTAGGTCACATTTACAAGTTTTAAAAGTCTTTTATGTTTTAAAATTTAGTTATTATAATCACTAGCGTACCCGTTGCCGTGGGTAGAAGTAAGTCTGACGGAATATATTAGACGGGTTTCATCAATGTTTTACCAATCTTATGTTCTAAGACGCGTGACCTTGTTTTCTTAAACTGAGGTAATTAATGGTAAACAATTTCTGCGCTTGGATCATAATTATCGGGGCACTAGTTTTCCTACACTACTAATCACTCAGCGAAATAATGAGAACACACTTCGGTGACCACCCAAGCGCCATTCGCTAAAGTGACACGAATGAACAGAGACGTGTTCTAAACATCAGTGTGACAGATGCAATATGTTAAAGTTACTAATGGTCTATTATTAAATGCTCGGTCTCAATTTCCGATTGAATCGTCTAAAAATAGATACTAATTTCATCATTGGCAAAGTGACGAAACTGTTTGAATTATTTTTTTACGGACAAAAAGAAACATCCCACTTAAAAGTCTAAACTTGGTTAATTATTCTAATTATTAAAGTAAAACGTTTTACAGGGCCCTCAGCGGGCCATGTGAGCCTTTGGGGGCCGAAACTGACATTTTTGTTTGCAGCCAATTTGCACCCTACCAGGGCGCCGGCAGATATAGAAAAAACAAATCTCGCCCTGCCGGAGCGCCACCCCTGCGAATTTGAATTTTTTTTTCGCAGAAAGCTCCCCAGGTAGGCCTATATTCTCAATAACTTCCCAAAGTTTCACGGCGATGTGATAGGAGGTGTGGTAATGCATAAAAGACAGACACACAGACAGACAAACAGACATACATTGCTTTATATATATAGTAGCGTACCCGCCCCCCGCGCGTTGCCGCAGCGATAGAAGAAAGTTTGACGAAATATATTAGAAGGATTTCACCAACACGATACCAATCATATGTTCTTAGACGCGAGACCTTCTTTTCCAAAAATGGGTTATTTAAATGTAGACAATGCCTGCGCTTGGATCATAAATATCGGGACACGGGTTTACCTTCACCACCGCATGAAAACCTTGAGTGTACATTAATCACTCACCGAAATAATGATGCAGAACACACTTCGGTGACCGTCCATGTGTCAGGGACGTAGAGGGGCGCTCTCAGGAGCCCCATCCCCCGATTACACTAACGCAAAGATGCAACGTACGGCCCCTGGCTCCGTAAAACTAACAGGCGCCATCGTGCCAAATAGCATCCTGTTAACAATGATGCAGATTGCGTCATTTGCTAAAGTGACACAAATGAACAGGATTTTTTCCTCAGCAAGTAAAAAAAAAATATTTGACGTGTTTTAAACATCAGTGTGACTGATAAAATATGTTAGCGTTACTAATGGTCTATTATTAGATGCTCGATCTCAATTTCTGACTGGATTGTCTTATAATAAATGCTTATTGCATCATTCACAAAGTGACGAAGCTCTACAGTAGGCTCCTCATATTCAAAAAGTTATTTTTTCATCTTTTGCAAGGTGACGAAACTGTACAGAAGGATTTCCTTGCGTTACAAAGTTATTTTTAGAAGCCTGTTGTAGTTTTACCGCTGAATATAGTAGTACCCCTTACTCGCTATGCAGGACGCTCAATTAACGGATGCCAAGTGCGAACATAGTCGCTCTAAAACTCTGGGCGCCAAACCTTGTATTGACGAAAGTTGTACCCTATATGGCGCCGCCCATAAGAAACTTTAGTTTTCTTTTTTGCAGAAATAATCTCGGGAGTATTCTCATCTACTCCTTAAAGTTTCATGGCACTCGGATGAACCACTTCCGAGTTTTATTTTTATACACCGTGTATAGAGAGAAAAAAATCGCTCCCCCCCCCCCGGGGCGCCGCCCTTGCAATATTAAACAATATTTTTTTGCAGAAACCTACCATTGAGTAATATAATCATTTCCCCAAAGTTTTTTGGTACACGGATGAACGGTGTGAAACCAAAATCTTAGAAACCGTATATAGAGAAAAATCGCAGCCTCCCGTGGCGCCGCCCTTGCGAAATTAAAAAAAAGGATTTTTTTTTACAGAACCCTTCCCTGAATTGTTCTAATCAACTCCCCCAAAGTCTAATGGCTATCGGATATTATTACGGTGTCACACCACAATCGACTTTTATTTTTATATACCGCATATAGAGAAAAATCGCACCCTCCCGTGGCGCCGCCCTTGCGAAATTAAAAATGATTCTTTTACACAACCCTTCCCTAGAGTGGTATAATGAACTCCACAAAGTCTCATGGCTATCGGATGAACGATGCCAAACCAAAAGCGACTTTTATTTTTATATACGGTATATTGAGAAAAACAAATCGTGCCCTGCCGGGGCGCCACCCTTGCGAATTTGAATTTTTTTTTTCGCAAAAACCCCCCCAGGAATATTCTCAACAACTTCCCAAAGTTTCACGGCGATGTGATGAGAGGTGTAGTAATGCATAAAGGACAGACACACACACAAACATACATTGCTTTATATATATATATATATATATATATATATATATATATATATATATATATGTATATATATATATATATATATATATATATATATATATATATATATATATATATATATATATATATATGTTTATGTGTATATGTTTAAATAATATTTTCCGTTTAACGTCTTCATTTTACAGTAATACACTACCCCATAGCTGCCATTCTATCATTAAACGATTTGGTTTTGCTAACATGAGTGTCGGCTGCATTGTAAAGGTCATAATATCGTGATAATAATGAAGTTAACAGCAATAATGTGTAATTAAATATCACAATCCCAAACATTCCAGAACTGCAAATTTTTAGAAAGATGAGATAAAAAAACAATGGAACATTAAAATTCCTTATGTTTCTAACTGTTTGTTTTAGTGTGTAACACATATCTTAAGATAAAGACCTAAATAAAATTCTGAAATTTCAAAACAACATACGCATTTGCAAGAGTATAAATGTTTACAATTTAAAAGTAATACATTATTTAATACTTGAAATCAATAAATGAGAAAAAAAAATTGGCAATCACGTATAACATGGACTTTTTTTTTACAAAATATCCTGGCTGTTTGCCAACCGACGAGTTATGTCCTCTTTACGTGACCGCAATGCTTTTATTCCCAACTCTGGAACAACCACGATCTTAATACATTTAACACAAAGAAAAAGGTAAGATTTATTTTTAGCAATGGATCAATAAGTAGCGATCAGGTTGAACTTCCAGTCGTTGACGTAAGTTAAGACTTGAAGAAAAAAATAAACTATGACTGAAGGAATCTAATGTATAGACGGTTCTCTCTCTTTCTCACTCTTTCCCTCTCTCTCTCTCTCTCTCTCTCTCTCTCTCTCTCTCTCTCTCTCTATGTAGTGGCATGTGGTACAAGAGTTGGGCCTGATGGCAAAATAAAACGATACATAAAACGTATTAGTTTGACAGAAATAAGTTAAAACTTTAAGTAGTTTTTAGATGATAAAAACGCTTTTGTAAAATCTTATCGCAATCGACCCATATAAGAACAAAGAGACTCGTATGCCCCAGAACTCAAGATTGGCGGGTTAGTAAATGTCTTTAGCTGACTAGTTAAACGACCAGCCACCCAACAAAACAATTATTGAAACTAAAGAAAGAACAGCTCTCCCTCACTTCACATCCATCAAAAGAACATTTCATTGTACCCCTCTATTTCACCGTTCTTAGTCTTTTTATCAGATATTAAATCGTCACTCAAGTCTTTACCCACATGACCTTCTACTTCTAACAGTGTATGTCGACGTGAACAACACCATTATAAAGGACACGAAGGGATTTCCCCAGATCTATGCAGGCCATGTGTATTTTTAGAATCGTCTATGTATAAATAAGCCTGGAAACCAAGAGCTACCAGTACACATAGCAGACAGGGCAGCGATAGACACAGTGTAAACCAAACATTCTCTGGTAAGTTAAGATACGATAACCAGTTTTTAATTTCATCATCTTATGCCACTATATAAAATAGTGTCTTTTTATCTTAACCAAAAGTAATATCTTAATGTCTCGTTTTATTCTTAATGATTCTATTATGACAATTTAAAACATCAATATTTAAATATTTTCTTTACCTAATAAATATCACGCATTTTATCAAGTTTTATTTTCTTTTTTACTTTTAAAGCTAGTCAAATTTAATAGCATTAAAAGCCCTTTACGTATGTTAAAACCACACTTATTGTATCGCTTGTACGATTACAAATTCAATTCTTAAAAGAAAACAGTTGTGTTTTTTTGTTACTTTTATCATGCTTGTGTAATTAGTTAGTTTTACAATTGTAACAAGTTTATGCTAATCGTGTCTTGCAGGCCTGTACTATTATATCATGTCGATATTTTAAGCATTCTTAAACCAACTTTACAATTTAGATACCATATTTAATATTTAGACAACAATATAATAGACATCGCTTTCAGAAAAATCAATTTCAATAACGTGAAGTTATAATAAACTGCACTACTACCAAACAATCGTTACTTTTTTTAAAAATCCAAATGAAATAGGAATTTAAAGTTAAATGTTATATGTTAGTTTGTCGCTTACATAAAAATTGTGATGCTCTGACGACATAATATTTTTATGTGCTGCTGTCAAATAAATATATGAACTCTTCCTTTTCTCCCAGACGGTCTCTGACATATGAACACGAATTGTTAACAACCATCACATGGACCTATATTAATTTTTTTTTAAATAAACAAACTCTGAGTAAACTGGCCACAAATGTAAAGATTTATATCAATACGTTATTATGTTTATTATAATGTATCAAGGAATGCAAATACATTTCATTTTGATCAAAATAATTTGGTTTCGGTAATTCTTCAGGAATTCCTTCGGGAGGGTGGGGGGGGGGGGTAAGCAATTCTACCACCCTCCTATCACTTACATCCCTGACTAAATAGAAAAAAAATTATATAGAATATTTTGGTATACAGCTGAACCGCCCTATCCTCCTGGAAATTTAACTCCCCCCCCCTTTCCCCCAAAGTGTCAAGTGCCCCCCTTCCCTAAAATGTCTGAAAGAAACATTTGATCTTCTTGTAGAGAACACACTGTTGCGTCCGGGTTTAGTTCAACGCAGAAAACGATTCACGACAGTCTTCAGTACTCTAATTGGTCTCAACTCTCCACATTACACAGTAGCCCCGCCCTAACCGCTACAAACTAGCCCCCTTACAATATTCACTCCAGCTTTTAAATCGCATTCGACATTGTGACAAAAATACGTAAACACACCAGGGTTAACTATACACTAGGGTTAACTTAGCTCTCACACGCACTCTCCCCTAAGTTCTAGATTATTCTAGTCTACTTCTATTTAACCTACAACTGACCCGTAATACACTTTAAAAGGGTTTAATTTTTTTATGCTAATACTCAGGGCAGATACAGACAGAATCATCCTAAAATAGTTTTTGTTCAATATTGTTAAACGGTGAAGGTTATTTATTTGGAATCCATTTCTCGATCGGTCTGTATTTCACCTGAGTGACGTAGTTTTTCAAATATTAGCTTCTAAAGTGGGTAAAGGTAGTCCGTCAGAATGACAAAAAAAAACAGGGGAATGTCGGATGGCAAGCCTTTAACAACATTCGGTAATGAATTATATAATAATAAATATAAAATAATACACACTCCCTTTACTATTAGAATAACTAACTACTCCCTATTTTAAGGTACTTCCTGTTAAATACTAGAGTAACCGTCCCCGCGCGTGGCCGCGGTGTTAAGAATAAATTCCAGGATAGTCCGGGGCAATTCGTACCATGCCGGGGGGGGGGGGGGGGTACAGTCAGACGCGCCTGGTTCAGTTTAGTAAACGACTATAATTCTGCTTCTTATCCCGCATTCTATCACAATCTTTAAAACGTAAGTATGCTTCGTAGCGCTACTGGGATAGACCGGGCCGGCAAATTGCAACCTGTCGGGCACCGGCGACCGCGTCTGATTCAACTTAGTGAACGACTAAACGACCCATCTTATTCATACTCTATCGCACCCGCTCGCTCGAAAATGAATTTCCCAGGAATATTCTCAAGAGCTTCTTAAAGTTACATGGCGATCAGATGAAAGATGTAGAAATGCATAAAAGACAAATAAAATCTTACGAAATATATTAGAAGGATTTCATCAATGCGTTACCAATCATACATTATTAGACGCTTGACCTTTTTTTTCTAAAACTGACTTATTTTAATGTAAACAATGCCTGCGCTTGAATCATACTTATCGGGGCACGGGTTTCATACACTACCGCCCAAAAATCCTGGGGCACCAGATCGCGAAAAAATTGTAAACTTTCTTCCAGTTATTTCCCTCAATTATTATCAGACTGTTATAAAATAGTGAACACATATTCCCTAATGTAGAGGCTATAGTGGCACATTTTTCAAACCAGAAGGGGTAACAACACGAAAGCGGTTCAAACTATAGCCAAAGATGTCTTTTACATGTACGGAAAGTATTATAGGTTGTGTACGTGATACTTTGATTTAGGTATGTCCTACCGTTGGGGTCGTTTTATATTGCGTATGATTTAAATCTTTACCCACAATACAAACTTTTGTCATCGCGTTTTACATATGGTAGAACATGCCGGTTACACTTTACCAAATTTGGCATCTCTAGGTCTAATCGTTTTTTCTTTACATTTTTTAGTAACGTAACAAGGTCCTTGGTGTATTTGCCCCCTTAACTTTATACTCATCCGAGATTGAGCGTATTATAGAGGCCTACAATAGCGATTTAAAACTGGTTTCCTTTCCTGATGTCTTCGTAAACACCGCATTGATATTTTTTACGGTCAAAGGGAAACAACATTGGAAATATTTAAAATGCTTGAGATATTGATTATTATCTTTCTTTAAATGTAATACCCAACTATAAACTAAAGAAGTCCTATATTAAAACGTACCTTTTGAAAAACAATAATCCATTTATTGACACGAATTACAATTGCAACATTAAAATAGCTCTTCGAAAACGTATTAAAAGATTTTAAAAGCTATAATGCTTTTCATTTTGAATATTAAATGTAAAGACATCTTATGATATTTTTACTTTCTCGTATATACGAAGTATAGAGAAAGTCTTGTAATCGTGCAAACAAAAATCGAGAATTTTACAAATCTCGACGTTTTACACCTCACTGATACGGAAAAACATAATTTTGCAATCTTGTCCGTATGTCTGTCTGTCTGTGTGTGTGTCTGTGTGTGTGTGTTTGTGTGTGTGTAAACACGATAACTTGAGTACCATTACAGCTAGGCTAATGAAATTTCATATATAAGTATTTTATCAAAATCGTTGATCCTGATCAACTTTTGAGCGATTTCCGATAAACGGAAGTAATACTTTTTCTACTTTGAATTTTCCACAAGCCTATAACTTGAGTACTATTTCAGATAAATAAATGAAATTTCACATGTAAGTAAAAGATCTAATTCTCTACCTCCACTCAAATTTTGAGTAATTTCCGTTGAGCGGAAGTACTAATTTACGCTATTTTCGATTTCTCAAAAAATGCATGTAAATTCATAAAGTACTAATAATATTGCGCACTAATATGCACATTTTGTTTTGGCGTTTGCTTGGTGCGCAATTCTTTTTTCTACTAGATTTCATTCTATTTCTAAAAGTTTAAGTAAACAAAAATCATGTCTATATTCCGAGTTGCCATCCCACGTAGTGTTATATTAGAATATTCGAGAAAGTTTAGGGGATATCACTCCCGGTTTATTTATTTGAGGTTTTTAAAAGCCGTATTGTTATACCTGTTTTTATACTAGTTGAAAAATGTAGTGTCTCCAAATATGTTTAAGAAAAGTTAATGGACTATAGACATTATTTTTTTAGGTGCGGGGTGGGATAAAGCTGTCGTATACTTAAAATATCTAATACATTACCTCGTGTAGGAATTCGTCTGGTAGTTATACATGATATCGAATGACTACTCCTCAATGGGACCTGAGCCTAATTGGAGAATCAACTGTTGATTCAGTAAAACCATTTTTTACATTGATCAAAACACTGATTTAAGCAAACCACTGCAGTACAAAAAACCGGGAAGATGGAAATAACCCCCCTACCCCATCCGTCAATTAATCCCCGGATATCCCCCCTCCCGACATTACCCACGGAGTAATTACCCACTGTCAATTACCCCCCGCACACTAGGATAATAGGTTAAAGTATAGTTAGGGTGTGACAGGATAAATAATCTCAGGACAAATGATCTCAGACAAAATATCTCAAATGATCATTTGTCCTGAGATAATGTGTCCTGAGATCATTTGTCCGTGAGATATTTTGTCTGAGATCATTTGTCCTGAGATCATTTCTCATGGATCCAGTTAGGGTTAGGTCTATAGTTTGGGCTAAGGATAGGGACAGAGTTAAGGTAAACATTGGTTTAGGTTTAGCGTTAGCTCTAGGTTTAGGGTTAGCGCAAGGATTAAGGTTAGAGTTAGCTTTATGGTTAGTGTTATTGTTAGTGTTAGGATCAGGGTTTAGGTTAGGGTTGATTAATGGTTAGGGTTAGGGTTAGTGTTAGGGTTAGAGTTAGAGTTAGAGTTAGAGTTAGAGTTAGAGTTAGAGTTATGGTTATGGTTAGGGTTAGGGTTAGGGTTAGGGTTTCGGGTTCGGGTTATGGTTAGGGTTGGAGTAAGTTACATAATAGAGCTTCTCATATAAATTTATAACAGATGATAACACAACTAAAACAAAATGAACCCTTCATTTCATCTTACAGTTGTTGACAAATATTTGTGAGCTATAATTTCGTTAAGGATGGCAAGATTTGAAGAGAAACCACTTAAAGTAGTTAATCGTTATTTTGTATCGATCGCTTGTTTAGGCCCATTGCTCAAAGTAATCACACCTGTATTCTTATATAACTTGGAATATACAGATGATTTTTAATTACTTAAACTTTTTAAATTTTGGTATCATTCTGTGCCTTAATTTAGTTTTATATAAGCTGTTTTGATTTCCTAAGTGCCATATCCTGTTGTAATTGTTACATAGTTTTATTTCTTTAACTCGTAAATTGAGTTTTGTTTATTTTGTATATTTATAGTATTTTGTATAGAACTAGAGTCATAGTTTGTACTTAAAAGGTACTTAATGGATTAAGAGCGTTGTTAGTTACAAGAATTCGTCGTGTCTTTCTTCTAGAGGTTATATACGAGTCCACGTTGAGTTTTTGTGTCTAATACTCTTTTAGTTTTGTTGTCATCTGTTTATAACCATTCAAAAAGAATCCGGTACGTGCGTTAGCTTTACCATAGTTAGAATAGCGCTTGCAATAATACATAATTTATTTAATATGATATTTACAACATTCTAAGAAAATCTTGATAGTCTTCAGTGAAAAGTTAAGGTCTTTAGTATTGTGGTTTTAATTAAGCCTACTTCTTCTAAAAGAACACATCCATTACATGACAGTGGCATAAATGAGTGCTCTAAAAAAGAAGCCATAGAAACATTTTAAAAAATAAATTAGACTGTACAATGGAAACAAAAAACATTCTAAATTCTGTAATAGAATAAATTGTAAATATACAAGTTAAATTTTAACAAAAGTTCTACAATTGTTTAAGTACATTTAAAACTAAATTGCTAGATGATGATTTTGTCAATCAGTGGAACTACTTTTAAAAATATTTAAATGCATATTTTAGAAGTGAATGTTTAATTAGGCTAGATTAAGAGATATGATCCAATCTTTTAATGTACTTATTAATGTAGTAACTTTTATGAGCCTATTTATAAGTCTGAGACATGGACCATCCTTATAATGTATGCATAACACCTTCAGCAGAACTTTGTAATTTAAACACTAGAATTAGGTTTTAGGCTGCTGCATTATAGTTTACTGCAGTAATATAAGTCACATAAATATGTCGTAGTTAATGATACTATAATAATAAGCCTCCTGATTTCACCCCGTTGAAGTATTATGTCAGTACTTTACCTTTTTATATAAATTATTGGAATAGCATTTAATTTAACTGCTTAATTTAAGATCATACCGTTTTGACAGATGTTTGTATTCATTCAAGTGATTTTCCCTCCTAACGAGAAGTTTCATATTCAAGTAAAAATATAGCCATGCCATGCTGTCTTGCTTACATAGTAAATATTTTAACTTGAATTTAATTCTTTAAATATTGATTCATCCTGTTTTTAAAAAAATGTGTTTATAGTTTTCTATAATTAATAATGCATCTGTTTAATGCACCTGTTTTCTGTTTAAAAATAAAACAGTTACATTTTATACTCCTGTGTATGATTTCAGATCTGAAAGAAAAGTTATGACAGATGTGTGTATTTGTTCTTTTTAAACAGAAAACTGATTACATTTATTGTAAGTGTTTAAACAATTACAAAACTATCAGCTAACATGGTTAACGATTGACTAATTCTAAAAATGTACAATTAAAGTTCCGAATACAATACATAATATCATTTTGAATATCATATATGTAATTGATTGATAACTAAAAGACAATTGCAATCGAATCTTTTATTTAAAAAAAGTGTATATCTTTCAATTATATTTTTGGTTCAATGATGAATTGCATTTAACTTGTATGTATCTTACAAGACAATTGCAGGTTTTTAATAAAATACGTTACATATATATAGCTACACAAGCAGTGGGAAATTCCAACAAAAAGACAAAAATGTCTACAGTTACAGGTAATAAGCATTTTCATGCTACATAAATAGTATTCTTCTTTAATTTAAAGTATAATTGATAAAATCCTGTAGAAATATGTGATAATCTAGCAAAACAATTCTATTATGTTGTGATTTTAGGTCAACAAGTAGAGGTGTGCTTTATGTTACATTAACAGAAAATTAAATTGTTTTTGTTTATTGTTATGAATTTGTTTTATTACATGTTCCTATAAGTAACTAATCTGAAATACTACTACTTTAGGTTTCAGATTTAGAATATATAGGTATTTAAAAGCATATGTGAATTTTATATTAGTTATTTTTTAAGGCAGTTTAAATAATCTGTTACACCTATTCCTGTAGAAAAACATGAAGCTGAGATGTGCTATGGAGGAGAAGCTGATCTACACACGCGTGTTACTGGCTGTAAGAAGAATCCAGGTCACAACGGTTTTATACCGCTTAAAAATTTCAATACAAATCATCTCCCCCGACGTTACCAGAACGACCTCATGTATGAGACAATCCAAACATTGGCAGCCCTAACTGTCCAGATAAAGACTAAATTCACCAGTCTAGAGAGACCAGAGTTTTACCCAGGCACTCAAGTTCCATATCCATGTTATAATGACAGAGGAAGTCACGTGATGAGGTTAGGTACGGGGAGGGTGTGTCTAGCGACCAAGGTCAGTTTTGATAACTTTACCTGTCCTTGTGCCAAGTGTCTAGTCTCTACCACACCGAGCAAAGTGTGGGGGAGGGTTTCTGTGAAGACAGCCATGCATGTGGTGTTTGATCACAGTGAGGCGAGAAAGACCAGTTGTGTTTTAGGTTTTGATGACAATAAAAGTCCAGGGATCAGTCTTGATGGCTGGGATATAGGATATGTAAACATTATGGGAGACTTTTGTGAGTTGCGATATTGGACATGTGACTTAGAGTTGGTTGATGAACTGCAAAAGAAGTGTGACCGCTTTTATGATCTATGTGGGGAAGTAAGGGACAGATACAGGGGATTAGTTGACAAAATCAAGTTGACCGTTATAGTGTCACATCCTCATGGCTGTCCTAAACAGGTATCTGTAGGACAATGGACACAAAAACGTGAGAGGGATGGCTACAAAATCAGGTACTGGTATACAACATGTACATGCCCAGGCTCCAGTGGAGCGTGTGTCTACAGGCCGAGACATAACTTGAGGTCGTATAACCATCCCCACAGTGGATCACACTTTGGATTAAATTATAGTGCGGAGTGGTGAGACTGATGTAACTGTTAGTTCTCTCCCCTTGTCTTCACAATGTAAACAAACAAAATGGCCGAACCTTTACCGTCATTTCAACTGTTTGTGTTGAGACTTGCATGTGTTGTAAACATTGTATTACATTTAAATTATTACAACACATGTTTAAATTGTTAAAAATCGTTTAACCGTTAAAATGTGCATCTACCATAATTTTTATGTTTATCGTTGTAAATATTTTGTCTTTTACAAAATTTGGCAAAATTGTTCTATGCTTTCAATGAATTGTAACTTAACATATTATATTTCTTTCTATTCTTATTTGTTTACATAATTATTATAACCTAGAAAATAAATGTTCAAGTTAAAACAATTTTGTTATGTTTTATTTTTTTATAGACTAATAAACGCCAGCGAGAAAAGTCTCAAAGGTATTTGAGAGGTCCATAAATTAATTTAAAAATCATGTACAGCGTAGTTACAATTAATATGGTTATAAAATCCCGTCTGTCTGGTTTTTAGCGCAATTTCCATTCTGGAGAATTGCGTTTATTAACTCGTCTTTTCTGGGAATGGATGTGTGTTCGCAGCTTTAAGTCGTATCTCCTTCTCAACGAAGCAATATCGAGGACTAGTTCCAAAAGCAATTCTGTTAAGCAAGTTACGAGGATGATAATGGGACAAAAAATTCCAGAATTCCTTCCTTGATTTCCCGGAAAAGCCAAAAAAACCTCGAAAAAATTCAGTTTTTGGCCCATATCTCGGCAACCAGACCACTTAGCGACTTGAAACATTTACCAATCGATTGCTGCCATAAATTAAAACTATATTGCCAAAAAAAGTTTTCAAAAATATCCTTTCGTTTGGTCACAAAATTTTTTTAAAACTTACATTATACATAATACACTACAGTACTGTATAGCAATATATAGATATCTATTTTTCGCTATCTTTTAGATCTTGCTATAAGTTTATTTATTTTTTTTATTATTTATTTACTTATTAATTGAAACGTTATTGTTGTACCCTATTAATTTATTTATAATTTATATGAGAGTGATAGGGAGTTACAATTACAAGGATTTGTTTCGCTAGGCCTAATCATTTTTTCACATTTTTTAAAAACAATAGAGTTATATGACTAACAACCATTGCGCGCCTACTGAACATGAAAGCGCAGCCATGGAACGTGATGACGCATCTATTGAACGTGATGACGCGAACATAAGGAAATTGCGCTAAAATTGTCACTAGACTTTTTAATTAACTTGTTTTCGGACTTTACTAAAGATTGGACGTATTTGATGTTTTTAATATTTTCGGTGACTAAATAAAAGTTTAGAAAAAGCAAAAACAATTTCACGTGTAATGGCGACATAAACAATGGCATCCTTCTATTCGATAGGCCACCATATTTTAGTATACACATTGTAAGATAAAATAAACCGGGAGTGATCTCCCCTAAACATTCTCGAATATTCTTAAATAAAACAACAGAAGATAGGAACTCGGGATATAGTTATGATTTTTAATCCATTTTAAATACTTAAACTTTTTAAAATAGAATAGAATCACATAGAAAAAAGTATTGCACACCAAGCGAACGCCGAATAAAGATGTTCATAATGGTGCGCAATATTATTAGTACTTTATAAATTTAGATGCGTTTTTGAGAAATCGGAAATAGCGTAAATTAGTACTTCCCGTCAACGGAAATTACTCAAAATTTGACAGAACGAAGAGAATTAGATTTGTTACTTACATGTGAAATTTCATTTATCTATCTGAAATAGTACTCAAGTTATAGGCTTTTGAAAATTTCAAAGTAGGAAAAGTACCACTTCCGATTATCGGAAATCGCTAAAAAGTTGATCAGGATCAACGATTTTGATAAAATACTTATATATGAAATTTCATCAACCTAGCTGTAATGGTACTCAAGTTATCGTGTTTACACACACACAAACACACACACACAGACACACAAACAGACACACAGACATACGGACAAGATTGCAAAATTATGTTTTTCCGTATCAGTGAGATGTAAAACGTCGAGATTTGTAAAAATCTCGATTTTTGTTTTGCACGATTACAAAACTTTCTCTATAGGGCCTACTTCGTATATACGAGAAAGTAAAAAAAAATTACGTCTGCTGGACAAATCCAACGACAGTAAAAAGTTTTTCTCCGACGGGAATAAAAAATTTTGATACCCTCACTTGTCGGTCTACGACCTCATAAAATATTGGGGGGGGGGGGGGGGGTTCGTACGTCAATTAATTTAAATATATCTTATATAAGGAGAATTTCTCTCGCGGTCACATTTTAGTCATTGACGAGGGCTTTGAGTCTGACAAACAATTTTTCCATACTCCCTAGACATCTATAGAGCTGCATTCATAAAATTAGCCAGATATACCGAGGTTAAGTACCTTAAAATTTGTGTTGAAATCACCCTCAGTTTTTCCCATAAAATACATATATTATATAGGGAAATACGACTGGTCAGTTTTGACCCATTTGCAGAATTTTCCCAGATCTACGACCTCACAAATTAGTAGGTGAATCGTTCGTCAATATATATATATATATATATATATATATATATATATATATATATATATATATATATATATATATATATATGTCATAGAAAGAGAAATTCAATCTGACTTTTTGCCCTCGTCGAGGACGTTAAGTCTGACCAACAGTTTTCCTTACGTCCTAGTCATCTTTATAAGTGCATAAAAAACCCAGATGTTCATAGGTTAAGTACCCTAAAATTTGTGTTGAATGTGCCCTGTTTTTCCCATAAAATACAAAGATTATATCGGAAAATACGACTGGTCAGTTCTGAACCATTTTCAGATTTTTCCCGGATATGGTGAGTTTTTTGTGACACCCCTAGGCGTTCTTCTACCACATGACAAAATATCAAGGAGTTCGTTCGGCAAAAGCTTTTCTCATAATATAGCTCATATAATGTGAATTTCAATCGCGGTCACTTTTTAACCCTCGTCGGGGGCTTTGAGTTAAACGGACAGTTTTTCCATACGGTATGACCATTTATTTATGAACGTGCAAAAAATAAGCCTGATGTACAGAGTTTAAGCACTAAAATCGTTGTTGAAATTACCCGCTGTTTTTCCGTGTATTTACTCTACTTCTTTTGCCAAGAAAGAAGTGGTCTCATAATTTTTTTTTTTGTAGAATTTAGATTGACTAAAGTTTTGTAAAAATTTGTACTAATTTATATTCACTATAGAGTCGATTTATTTTGCGAAAAAAAAACAACAGATAATTCATTTCCTGTTATCTTTCTAAACCTCTGACTCTGCCTCGATTTAATCCTTACTTTTACCTTCATCGACGTAAAATATATTATACATTTATATAGATGAAGGCTAAAATGACTACACCTTATGTCTGTTTAACCGATGAGGTGCCTTTGCTTAACTCAAGTCTGACGTGTAGGCCTTAGAAAAATAGAAAAAGATTAGATCCTGTTTTTTTTTTTACGCTATTCAAACATAATGTCCATTGGCTGTTGAAGCTGGGCGCAAATACAGATGTCAAAGTAAATTTACTTAGGTTCAATCCGTAAATGACGTCACTATTTTTAAAGCGAATTGACCTCCCCTTCCCTCCATCACACATCTTCACTAAAAGCTATACGACTTCCATCCCATTAAAAGAAGTCACAAACCCAATCAAAAAGGTTGTTGAATTCTTTTTTAAACACCGATTTTAAAAAAAAATTTTTAGAATTTTGACTGAGCTCCGACAACTTTGAGTCTGTTAATCAATATATATTACAATTTATTAAGACAGTTTTCTAACATGTAAATAAGTTTTTAATGTAAAATTATTTTGTCACACAAAATTACGGTTCCCCTACCCCATACAAGTGGTATATTATTTATGGACGACCCCTAAACACATGCGCAATTTTATTTTTAACTCAAATTATCATCATTATCGTTTACCTTTTGTGCCCAACCGCCTTTGTTTCCATAACGTAAGTTATGTACCCATTAGAGCTGGATATACTCAGGAACGTTCGACTGATTTGAACCTGGATTCGAACTCCAGACTCTCGCAAGGTCACGCCGTCCCATTGCTCAATTAAAGATTGACCGTTATAGTGTCACATTCTCATGGCTGTACTAAACAAGTCTCCGTAGGACAATGGACACACAAACAAAAGAGGTATGACATATACACCAGGTACTGGTACACAACATGTACATGTCCGGGCTCCAGTGGAGCGACTGTGTACAGGCTGGGATATGACGAGTGTTCGTATTACCATCCCCACGGTGGATCAGACTCTGAGGGAAATTATAGTGGGGAGTGGATGCACTGATGTTACTGTTAATTCTCTCCCCTTGTCCACAAAATGTAAACAATTAATGTAATTAATGTAACAACTTTTAATTAAATGACTAGTATACATTTTATTATCAGTAAACTATTAAAACAAATGTTTTGATTGTGTGAAACCGTTTGTGAAACTGGTTTCTTTTGCATGTACATTGATGGATTTTATAAATTTTTGTTTTACATGTGATAAGTATTTTTCTAAAATTAATGCCGCAAATTGTTGTTATAGAAAGTATAGTATTTATGCTGTAAAATAGGCCCAATACAATTCATTAAAAGGCCCATTTATTTTTTTTCCTATTATTTGTCTGTTGCTTGTTTACAAAAACTGTTCTTAAATAATAATAAAATCCTTAAAAAGAATCTTATTTCTGTGGTTACTTTTATTATTTTGTGCTGATAAGTTTCTAGAGGAATTATGAAATGATTCTTTTAAAATAAAATAGATCTATACACTACACATTCTGTTAAAATTGAACAAAAATGGCAATTAAAATTATCACAATATAAAACACCACCAGACAACAGTGTGATTTTTTTTTTCACTTGTTGACCTGCTGCAACAGAAATGTAAAGTGAGATCGAAGTATGTTGCTGTGATAGGCTGACACTTGTGTAAACATTGTCTCATACAGTGAGAACCTCTACAAAATTGATAGCAGATTCTAATGGCGGTAAATTATGGGACGACATCGGCGAGTTGGTAGTGTACATTAAATCATATCTCATCTTCATAGTAAACAAAGCAGTACCAACGCAGAACTGGATATGTTATGTGTTGCCGATTGTAGACGTTCACTTAATTCTCTTGTTATTTTCGTAGTTTGATTCTTCTGAGAGCTTGACAATTTAGGATGACTTTTCATAAACGAGGTGTACCAATCTTTTCCAGCCTTTCGTTTAGATTTATCGAAGC